GAGATTGCAATGAAGGAACACAGAGGTATAGAATAGAGTTCAAAGGAGTTCCATTACAATAAAAATAGAGCTGACAGCATACAAATTTTGCAGTTTTAACTAACAGGCCTCAAACACCATATAATCATAGCAGGTTGTAATCAGAGGTAACCCAGTTTGAAGCAAATAAGAACAGAAGCAGAAGTAGGCCACCCAGATAGATAAGAGTAATGCAAGTTTACATAACCAACATGCCTTAGACTAATTAGGTAAATAAGCATGGAGTCATAGCTGCTCTAAGTTTACAAAAGTACCAATGAAGCAAGGCAAAATAACAACAGCAGCCTAATCAGTAATCATCAGTCCTTGAACAACATAAAGGAGATGGATAACAGACATGGAAGACAGAAATGAGTAAGACACAACAGCAGCTCATCCATCAGGTAGGTGTAGTCATCATAGGCCTAAGTTGGGCGGTCATAGTGGGCAGTTTTCCCCCTTCATCCATAGTCCAACCACCAAGATAACAAGTGAGGTGATTAACACCTTCTTCCACCAACCACCCTTACCATTACCATCAGAAGGAGGAATGATTGGAGGAAAAGCATCATGAGGGATAGGATCATAGGGGAGGGGAGGTGCTGGTACATGAGATGGATGAACATCTCTCATGGCTGCCTGATAATCTCTAACAACCTGTTCATAGTTGCTATACTTCTTGTATATAGCATTTCTCACACCAAGAACATGCCTACTGCATTCCTACCAACTTAGGTAAATCACAGGAGACTTCCCATTAAAAACAACATAGTATGGTCCCATTTCTATCAAATGAAACAATGCTTTAGCCTCAGTCAAATAGAAAGCATGAAACTAGCCATGATTGTGAAACTTAAAGATCAAGGGTTTGTGGTGAAACAAATCGTTGATCTTATGTTTCTCACCGATGACCAGCATCATCAAGTTCAAATCAACAGTTGTGACATCACAGGCAATGTAACAACAGATTGGCCTCCGCTTTAGGATCAGGTGGTGTTCATCATGTTGAAATCATTGGTGGCTGCCATAGAAAATAAAAACTAGCAGTGAAGCAAATCCAAGTTCATGGCTGCCATGGAATCCATGTGCACATCCATACACTGCCATCAACACTAGAAAGAAGGGGCTATTGCTAGGGTATGGATGAGTCTCATGGATTTGATGACAAACATGAGAAATCAGAATAATCAAGTGCAAATTCAGGGTCATGACTGCCATCGAACCCTATTGTGCACATCCATTCACTAGCAATAGCATAAGTGAATGGATGGGCACACATAGGGTTCCATGGCAGTGATAAAAAACTAGAAGAACCAATTAAACAAGGCAACCACCTCATGAATTTGTTGTTTGCATCATAGGCCTTATAGATTTCCCACAGTTACCACCAATGAAAAGAAACAAAACCAACATGACAGAAATAGAGCCAACAGTTCCATGAAATAGGAGGTAAACATAAGCTTTGCCCATGTGACATAGGCATGCAACAACAGCATCATCAGTCATATATGCTGCTACCACTGTATGGCTAAGTTTCATGGCCAAAGACAAGGTAACAATGATAGATAATGTAGTAAATAGAGCCAAAAGAACAGAATGCAACAGAAATAAAAGAAACCATGAGTAGTACCAAATTGAGCAGCCAACAGAGGCCACCGATTGTGCATTACAGATAGCAGTACAACCTCACACATGTAGGATCAAATTAAGGTCCATCTTGCTTCATGTTACCTATAGTCAGCCACCCTCTAACTACACTAACCCAAAAGGATGGGTGTGAATCAGCCAACTTGAAAGCCCTTGTTTGGTTTTGGATAATTGATGAAACCTAGGACTAACCTTTGATCTAAGTGTGTGAATTAGATAAGGTGGTCCAATCCAAGTGGTGAAGCTAGATGATGGTCATGGTGAAGGTAATGGCCACAAAAGAGATGATCAAGTGCTTCACATTTGGAAAAGAAGAAAGAGAAAAATAAAAATGGGCTCAACGCAAATATATATTGATAGGAGCCATTTTTGTTTCACACTCAAGACACCATAGAGGGTGTGAGTGATCTAGGATCGATAGCCGTACTATAAAGAGGGGAGATCTTTGGCTAAACAGTTTATCGAGTGCCACTAGGTGACATAATTCTTGCATAAACATTTAGGAACCCAGTGCGCTAACATGTGACCCTTGTAAAATGCTTTGAAAAATGATAACACACATGCACATAAGTTCTACACTTTATGGTTAGCAAGTTGGAAGCAAGGGTGAAGTGGTTGTGGAGATAGAAAAAGAAAATAGAGAAGACAGTAGTGACCGGGACTCGGTAGCCAAGGGTGGCCGGACTCACCCAGGCGCGTCCGTCGAAGCAACTCTGAAGAAGGCATTTGACCTCATGGCCGGACGCTGCTGAGAGGCGCGTGACCGGATGCACTGGCGCGCTTGATCACCGTGACGATATCTTGGCGTAAGGGTCATGAGTTCGCAATGAGAAGAAGCGAAATCTTGGCCGGACGCGTTGGGTCAACAAAATACCTCTCTAGAACCTTACTAGAGTTGATCGAACCTTGGAAGAAGAGCGTCTAGTCATTTCTAACATTGAGTCCAGTTGTCACTTAACACACGAGCGGCTAAGTGTTGACCGTTGAGATCAGTCAGCTGAGGTTTAAACACGGGGGACACGTGGCTGCATCCGAGCGATCGGACGCTGGCGCGATGCGTTCAATCATCACGACCGGCGTGTCCGGTCGATCTGTGAAGGCACCTTTGAGAGCACAACGGCTCTATTTCATTAGGGGTGCCTATATATAGTGTTTGACTAGCTTGGGGCTCACTCTCTCGGCACTTTGACATACTTGACATCCTTGTAAGCCTAGGTAAACACCTCCTACTCATCTCCATCCTTGATTCATCATCATAGTGAGATTAGGAGTGATTCCTAGTGCATTTGCTTGAGTGATTGCATTTAGTGGCACATGAGAATCGTTGTGGTTGTGAATTTCTTGTTTCTCTTGGTGGTTGCCGCCACCTAGGCAGACTTGGAGCGATGGAGGAACTTGGCACGAGTTGGTGATTGTTAAGTGGCCGACTCAGATGATTGTGAGGGGTCTGCACCTTCCCAATGAAGGGCCTCAAGATAGCTCTAGTAAATTGCTCGTGTCATTGAGTTACCTCACTTGTGGGTAGGTTCTTGCGGCGCCTCTTATGGTGGGCTAGGTGTGTGATACCTATTAGCCGCCAAACCACCAAGTGTTGGCCGACACAACAGGGGACTAAGCGTCTTGCGGCAAGCACGTGAACCTCGGAGAAAAATCGGTTATCTCTTGCCCTTTGTATTCTCCGTGATTAAATTGGTATTCATCTTGTGATTGGTTCACTCCTCTCGTGGCGGTATAATCACCTCGCTCACTCATTTACTTTCCATAAACTAGTTGAAGCAAGCTCTTTAGTGTAGCTAATTGAGAGCTTGCATTGTAGCTTAAGTTCATCTTGTGGAGCTCTTTAGTGTAGCAATTTTGAGAGCTCTTAGAGAGTAGCAACATAGCCTCTTATGTGCCTAGTGATTATAGCAACTAGAATTGTTGGATAGGTGGCTTGCAACCCTTGTAGTGCTAGAGCAAGTTTGCATTTCGCTATTTGTCATACTAACCAAATTGCTCTAGTGATCTTGTAGATTTTAAATAGGCTATTCACCCCCCTCTAGCCATATTAGGACATTTCAAGCGGTATCGGAGCCGTGGTCACCATTTGATTGAAGGCTTAACAACCTCGGTGTCAAATTATGGCTCAAGTTGTATTCAATCATGTGGGGGGGCAAACCACAGTTCTTTGATGGCACATGCTATGATTATTGGAAGAGAAAGATGAAAATATATCTTGGTTTAATCAATGACTAAGTGTGGGATGTGACCGAGAGTGACTGTGATTCTTGATCCAGACAATCACACCAACACCGATAAGGCCAACAAGCAATGCAATACAATGGCTTTCAACACCATCTATAATGTCATTGATTCCAATGTGTTTGAACAAATCAATGATTGTGAGAAAGCTAGTGAAGTGTAGAAGAGATTAGATGAGACCTATGAGGGCACACCAGCGGTGAAGAGTGCCAAGCTATACATGCTCAAGGATAAGTTGACAAGCTTCAAGATGAAGGATGAAGAGAGCATTCCAAAGATGTTCCATAGGTTGCAAGTAATTGTCAATGACTTGAAGGCTTTGGGAGTGAAGATCAATGATGATGATGTCTCTCATCGGTTTTTTATGTGCTTACCTCCTAGATTTGAGACATTGAGATTGGTCATTATTAGAGGAGGATTGAAGGAACTCACCACTAACCAAGTATTAGGTGATGTCATGACACAAGAGACATACCGTATGGAAATGGAGGGGGTTGACAAGGATGACAAGAAGGAAGATGAAGACAAGAAGAAGAAGAGTGTAGTATTCAAGGCTAGCTCATTATCTAAGAATAAGGGCAAGTCTAAGAAAGAAGAATCAAGTGATGATAAAGATGCTAGTGACACTGATGATGAAGCCATGGTTCTCTTTGTACGCAAGTTTGGAAGATTCATGAAGAAGAAGGGTTATGGTGCGAGAAAGAGAAAAGACAACAACAAAAGCAAGAAATATGTGAGGAGATGCTATAATTGCAAGAGTCTCGATCACGTTGTAGTGGATTGTCCCTACAATAATGACAATTATGAGGATGAGAAGAAGCACAAAAAAGACAAGAAGGAAAAGAAGGAGAAGAAGAAGAAAAAGATAACCTTCCAAAAGAAGAAGAGTGAAGGCTATATAATCACTTAGAATAGTGATAGATCTTCGGATAGTAATGCCTACAGTGATGATGACAAGAAATCTACGAACAAAGCGGGCCAGCGCTAACACACGCCCACAAGCGTGCTCGTTTCCCTCACCGTTCACCGTTCAAATTTCTTCTTCACGTTTCCGCCCACGAAGAGACAGGATCACAGTAGAGCCCGAGTCGGCCATGGCGAGGCCGAGAGCTACCACCAACGCAGCCTCCTCCAAGCCGAAGTCGAAGCCGAAGGCCAAGCCCAGCTGCCCAGGTCCAGGGCCAAGCTTAAGGTGGCGACGCCCAGCCCCGTCTCCCTGCTTTCCTCCGGCGTCTCCTCGCCTTCCACGTGCCGCACGCCGTCCCCTGCCGCCGCCGCCGACCTCAGCTTCCGCCTCTCGCCCTCGTCTCCGCCGGCGAAACCCGGGACCAGGAATTCTACGCCCCTCGTCTCCCCCGCTGCCACGTCCACCATCGGAGACCTGAGGAGCCTCGCCGCGTCCCACCTCGACTCCCTGAAGCGCCGCCTCGACGCGCTCCACGGCGACTGCGTCCGCGACCTCGAGGCCTCCCACTCCCGCATTTCCAAGCGCGTCAAGGTGGCTGGTCTCCGTTCCCTGCATCTGCATACCTCGCTCTCTCATTTGGTTGCTTCGTCGAGTTCATCAGGTGTGATGTACTGATGTGATGACTGATGTTATCTTCTCCCCGCGTGCCCTGCGCTCAGATGCAGTCCCATGGCTGCCTGCAGCTGGCGGAGGAAGTGGAGAAGGAGCAGAAGAAGATGGCCGACAAGATCGCCGAGCATGCCGAGTTGGTGAAGGTACCCCCGATCTCGTTCCTTGCGTGCGTTTCCTATTGCTGTTCGTCATAGACGTAACTGACTCTGTTATTGATTGGTCGCTTGTTGATCTGAATTTTCTGGTGCTTTCCGTGAATCGCAGACCTCGTACAAGAAGTTCGTGGCTGAGGTGCAGGCATCCACATCTCGTGGTACTTTGCAGACGGAAACAACATATTATCTGAATTTCAGTTCAGTTCCATGTGTTTCTCTTCAACAAACATGTTTTGTTCTAACTTTGGTGGTGGCGACCAGTGTGCAAGGTGACCGTCCCTGAGATGGCGAAAAGTCCGTGGAGAGGAGTATTGAGGGCTTGCGCAATCGCTACAACATCTCCGCTACACCATCAGCTTAGCTTAGCGGATGATTCGGGCTGTGTTCATACGAACTGAGTAGGTAAAATCATTTATCCACATGTTGTTCACTGCCGTATATCTGATATCTCTAGTGATTGTTGAGTGTCGAAAGGAGTAGCACGTACATCGGTACATGTGATGGATGATGGGTACTGCTCTAGTGCTCTGGCCCTGCGTGGAGCTAGATCATCATGCTGGGGTGGTGGAGGATAGTGTTGTGTGATGTCCTGGTGCTATATTAGTGTTGTTTGTATGCTTGATTGACGAACCAATAATATGGGTTACCAAACTGGTGTAGCTGGTTATACTGCTGGTTGACAATACCATGCGCTCTGAGTTTGTGTGTTCGGAAAAGAAACTTGGATATGTATTTGCTTCGCCGTCTAGAATTGTTTTTGAAAACACTGTTAGGAATTTTGGTTTCGGAACAACCACTAGCCAGTTTGTCAAATACTGTAAGAGTTTCTGACTTCATCATTCGAAATTTGATCAAAAGAGAGGCGAGAGGAACTTGTCCATGTCAAGAGCTAGAATATTCTAGACTTTAGCTTTTTTTGGCATTATTCTAAGTCTGAACTCCTATGGTTTAATTTCATAAATCAGAATCATGTCATTTACTGGATGTAGCAATTGCGCTTTCAACAATTCAGCATAACACTGTAGGCACATAACATATATTAAGGATCTATTCCCTAAAAAATATAAATCAAGGTCCTTAAATTGCTTGGAAGTGTCATTATTATTTTTTGCTTGAAGGTGTCATTACGCCAATGTTGTTGGGATTTTTTTTTGGTATGCATGTTCTGTTGGCCAAATTTAATTTTCTAACAAATGGGTTTGCGAGATGTTCCTAGTTTTTTTCTCAAAAATATCTACCTTGTTCTTCCTTCCTGCCAATTTTATCAGAACTGAATAATTAAATGTTATAATGGCATGCATTGTTACAGTTCCTTAGAACACTGATAGCCAGACTCTCGTTTGATGTTTGTGTTGCACGCAGTAGTCAATCCCTACCTGGCTGATGCTTGTTTGTTTATTCTTGATCAGGTGCCGTTATCCACATCAATTGAGGTCAGCTGTTGAGTTCTTCGATCGGCTTCGCAGCAGGGACATGCACATTTGTAGTACATAATATATAACCATTGCACGGGTACATGAGATAGTTCTTTGCTACATCTCCATTTTTCAGATATCCCGAAAAATGAATAATAGTTACTCCGATCCTTGGAACCTATTTTTGCTTCGTTGCATTTCTTGTGCATCCCGTAAGATGCTACTGTCGATGTACCTTCCAGGATCAGAACATCTCAGATTTGAATCATGTTTGTTCTAGTAGTACATTAGCTATCGCCTGAAGCCTGAATGATCAGTTGTCATATGAAAATTCACAACCAAAACTTCAGCTCTTGGTTTGTTCTCCGCAGGGGTAATTTCATTTTTTTTGACGAAAAGGGGTAATTTCATTTCGTACCTGTCAGTTGATTTTCACTCGGTTGATTTCGTAAGATGTTTTAGTTGGTAAGTTTGAATGAGAAGTATAAAAGCGCAGATTAGCCACGCAGCTTGGATACGCCTTTTCCCGTCTTGTGCTATCACAATGCTTGGGTTGGGTTCGTTCGTCCGTCAGGTGCTGCTGCTGCGAAGCAGTGAACACTGAACAGCGTCACAATGCATGGGTTGGGCCGAAACGAGTTGTATGGGCTGGGTGGGTCACTGGGTGGAAATGGGTTTCAATAGCTAGCGGGCCGGGGCGGGTTGGGTTCACTGCAAATGCGGGTTGGGGCGGGTCGGACTGGGTTACCCTGGGCACGTCGGGTCGCTGCTGTCCGCTCCCGGCTCCCGCAGAAAGGGAAAGGCAACGCCGACGGCCCGCCGCCGCCGCCGCCGTTCCCGCGGGACCTCCTCCAACGACGTCGTTGATCCAGGTGCGCCTCCCTCCCCCCCATCTTATCCCCCGCATCATCCCCTTCCCTGCCGAAGTACGCGCCCAGCTCGTATTTCGCCGCGCCGCCACCCTGGCCGCCGGGAGTTGCTACCGGCGGGGACCCGTGCTGGGGTTGCGCGGGTGCCACCCCACCACCTTCTTGGCGCCGCGTCCCTTGTATTTTATTCCGTAACTAAGTGAGGATTTTGGGGGCATCGATTTTTCATTTTTCTCGATCTGTTTTACAATTGTAGCCCTATTCTTCCTCCATTATTATGAAGATTGGCCCCAGTGCTGGTAGTCTCGCTTAGTCTTTTACAATTTTGCATGTACATATCGGCTATGGGTGTCTACCGGTCTAGAGTCCTTTTTTTTTTACATAAGTTTAAGCATAAGCAGTAAGTTACAAGTTCACAGGATTCTCTCTATCTCTATCTCTGATATTTTGTTTTGGATAAATTAGCCAAGTTTAGTGAAAGATAGTTCACTCTGAACTCTGAAGCACAAACTCCAGGAAGTTAAACTGTAGTTTTCTTTCAGTTTCAGCGCTGGTAGTGTGGCATCTGCATTTCTGTTTTTTCTTGATCTGGTTCCGCTGCATTGCTATGAACAGTGTGGGTGTGAGTTGCATGGAGTTGAATATCAGCAAATTGCTGACTGGGTGTTTTATTATATTTGAAAATACGTATATCGTTCTGATTTCTCATGAGTTTAGCCCCTTTTTAAAACATAGAGTGTCAGTGTAGTTTGTTTATCTTTTTGCAAGAACATGTCTCCTTTTTTGCCAAAAAGAAAACTTTGAAAGTGCCGCTGCCACCATTTTCCAGAAAATAAGCGCTGCAAATTTCAATTCTCCCAAACGGCCAAATGGCTAAACAATTTGGGCCATATTGTGTGGTTGCATGGACGATGTTCTCATGTCCTGAGGCCAAAAGCCCCTCCAGAGCTCACTTGAGCCCAGATGATGAACTGGGTGGGAGCAAGCTCACCCCCAACACCCACCAACCCACAGATCCATCCAGCTCCAACCTAACCCTACCTAGATCCCACCTTTGCTGCGAGCAGCACTGTTGGATTGTGTGCTTCGATCCTCAAATCTGCCTTGATTCAACACCAGGTTCTGCGACTTCCCTTGACTGGTGTGGTGGCACGCTTGCATTCCTTTCTTTACAGATCCCTTGGTGCTCAGTGGTGGATTGGTGCTGCTGCTTTGCAGATCTGACGGCAGTGGGATCACTGACTGAGAAGGCAGCAATTAGATTTGGGAGCGAGGTGAGTTCATCCTGTTCTTCCCTTTGCTTCCTTTTCTTCTCATCCTGTGAACTGTGTGCTCCTGCTCTGTTAGTGGTGTCGCTGATTGCTCTGAAACCTAGATGGCATGCCGTGTTATGTTTTAAACAAAATTAAATTGTGTCCACATTTTTTTTTTTTTCAAATGGCAGGTACAGATATGCATATCTGTATTGGTGCTACATAACAGTTGAATGGGCCTTTTCGGAAATAAATATTATCAATACTGAATTGCACAACAAGATGCATGATGCTTGACGAGAGATCATTTCTATATGGGGCTGTTTGGATCCTGTAATTGAATCTCATTCCATGAATGGTTATAGAAATTCTTTTAACAAAGATGATTATAGCAATTAGATTCCACCAGAAATGGGTTACCTAGAATTTGATTCAATTCAATTTTTTGTTTGGTTGGACATGGAAACTTTTCTTAGAATTAAATTCCAATTTTTGTTTGGCTGATTCTTAGAATTTTGTTAATTGGCGGTAACCAAGTGATGGATTCTCTAGAATGATTTAACCAATTACTGGTGAAGCAATACTCAGCTGTCAGGTGAAAGAGTGCAGACATGGAATTAACTTGAAAACAGGAGAAGTATTTTCAAAGCGAATGAAACTTTGCATACCTCAGGGGAAGTAAAATGGTAAGTCTTGGGGAGCGATAACTGAAAGAGGGAGGCTCTATGAGCTGCAGTCTCTAGAATGAATAACATTGCAAGGCCTTTTGCATTTCTCCGATGCTGGTTGAGTAACTGGAGAACAGATGCTGGTGTATTAGATCGACCCAAACCATTGGACCGAAGAGGAGGGAGGGGCGGCGAGGTGAGGTTATTCTGGTTGGGCCAGCAAATCTTGGGGACTCCACCGACCTCTCCATGGGCAGCTTCCGTGTCGCCAGCTGGGCATGGGCTGCTGCCGCCACTGCCGCTGCAACTGCCACAGGGGCACCGCTGGCCTGCCCCGCATGGCAGCGTCCTCCCTCAGTCTTGGGCAGCTCCTGGTCGACACGGAGCACAAGTGGTTCTAGGACTGCCACATCGTGGCAGGGTGAGGATTGCACCAGGGAGATGGAGGTGGTGGTGCATGTCATGCAGGTGGCCCGTGTGCAGGACTCGCTTCTAGGATGGTGGGAGGAGGGCGCCGACATCTCACTCAGATCTGGTGATGGATGGAGGAAGGGGCCTATTGAAGGGCCAGCACTAGGAAACCCTCCCGCCATGGCCCTGAGAGCAGAGCTCGGGGAATCAGGATGAGGGTGTGGGGAAGGGATGGAGAATCGATTTCCATATATAAGCCCGTGAATTGGTTGTGGGCCTTCATCTTCTAGGATGGAAAGCTCTGGAATCTTACTTTATAATTCCTGTGTGGATCCAAACAGACTGGTGTGAAACTGACTCTAATTCGGATGAATTCCGACAATCCAAACAGGCCCTATATGTGTTCTATACTTGATTTTAAATCTTACTTTGTGGTCTATGCTATTGACTTTGCCCTACCTTGAATTTATTCTGTCCTCTGCCATTAATTGGGCGCTTGGAGACTTGAAGTTGCTTAGAGAATACTATGTGTTAGCTTTATAGTTGTAGCTGTCTGTGTGCATGAAGTGGTGGTGATTGCAAGTATGTCCTTGTTAATAAACAGTAAGGATGGGTGAAAGGCTATGTTGTTGTTGTAAGGATGGGTGAGAGTTAATGGCTATCTGCTTTGCGTTTGGCACCTTATTGTCCATGTAGTAGTTAGCTTCTGCACTTATTGTTTGTTTGTGCAGAATGCTTCTGGCATTTTATGCTCAGAGGTTTTCTGTGGAGTTCAGCTTTCAGTAGAACCTCTTGACATTTCCTCATGGCGATTAAGCATTTTTATTATGGTGTTTGTCATTCTGTTTAATTTAGATTAAATGTTGTTTGAGAAAGTTAATAATATTGGATTATCTGCAGATATGGATCACTTGGACGAGCATGACAGTGATGACATGAAAGTAGGGGCAGCTTCTGATGGCCCCTCCAGACTCAGAAAGAAGAGGTCCAAGGTTTGGGGCGAATACAAGCCCATCATAGTAGATGGAGCAATTCAGGCCTTGGAATGTCGCTACTGCCATATTCACATGAGTTGCAGAGGTGCTGATGGTCAATCCAATGGGACAAGTCATTTGTGGCGACACCAGAAAATTTGCCGAGCAAAAGATGGGTTTTGTCCAAGCCCACTTCAACAGGACACAGACTTGCCATATGGTATGCTTTAGCTACTGACTAGGAGCAAAAGATGGGTTTTGATGGGAATGCTTGGTAAACAGCTATTGACGTGCCTGAACCGTGACTAGGGGCTCATGCTGGGTTTCAACTCTAGCCTACCCCAACTTGCTTGGGACTAAAAGGCTTTGTTGTTGTTGTTGTTGTTGCTGTTGTTTCTAGTTCCTTAATTAGTATGGAAGCTTTTAGGCCTTTACAATGGGACTTTCATTTCATGATGATTACCATTTTAAAGATAAAATATTTTCTTACATTTTTTTACTTTTAGTTCTCGCTCCTACTTTAATGTTGTGAAGGATATTAAGTGGTTAGTGCGTGTTTAATCTCTCAGTGGCTGACTTAAAAAGAAGCATTTTAGAACACTTAAAAGATCTTTGATAGGATTTGGATCCTATCGTGAATGGTCGGAGGTTGTAAGGGTGAGAGATCGGGGGCTCGAGGCTCGGCGACGGCTCTGGGCGCCGTCCTTGCAGCTGATCATAGCGAAGAAGCGAGGAGCAGCGACGAAGGCGCTACAGATATCGCGGATCTTGTTCACGGGAGAGAAAGAGAACTTCGGCTGACTAGGGTTTCTCCGGCTCCCTTGAGGAGGCGGAAACAATAATATGTTTACCTTACCAAATTAGTCCCCGATCACAAGTATTTATCTAAATCTATTGAAATATGAAAATAACCCCTGATTCTATAGAAATTATCTAGACTTAGCCACTAATACCCTTTATGGCTATCTTGCATGCTGGGTCATAACATCTCTCCCTTTCTGCGCAAACAACTCGTCCTCGAAATTGAAAGTCGAGGAAGTGAACACGAAAATCCTCAAGGGCTCCCAAGTAGCGTCGTCGTTGGGAAGGCCCGCCACTTGATCAACACATGCCGGACTCCACGGTGC